TGGTCTCAAAGATGCCGGCCCAGGCAACGCCGGGATACGTTCTTTCTCTGGCTGGCTTGCTGGCTGGGCTCCCGATCTCGAGACGGAGAAGCTCACCAACTGAGAATTTTCGGTCTCGCCTCTCGAGAGGGAGACACCTCAGGCTGCATAAAATTAACTCACTACAATATTAATCTGGGCTGCTCATCCCTGTGCTCTCTACTGCACTTCGATATTAATTCCGCAGCCATCTCCGAGTCGACTTTCAGCGCGAAAATGATCATCCGCCGCGCTCCGAGTCCAGATGCTGAACGCCTGCGCCCCCCATTTCATCATACGCATTCCTGCTGGCAGCCACTCCGACGTCCCTCTGCTTTTTCCAATTCTTCCAATTGGAACCTACATACGCGCGCGCCCATCGATCACTCCCGATCCCGGATTTTTTTTAAATTCCTGAACCGAAAATAGCAATAGTAATAGCGCGACGAGCTGCAACCGCCGGCCTGGGGAGTCTTCTCTGCGTTTCGCTCGAGATTCTCGGTTTTCATTTTCGCCCAGAACGAGTCCAGATCTGCTTCGCCGATTCGGACTGGCCCAGATCTCTTCGCCGGCGGACTCGAACTGATCGCTTCTCCTCTCGACCTTGTTCCCGACTGATCTCGTCGTTGCCAGGGCTGATCCACCCAGTATAGCACCTCACCCTACGCGGCTAGCCCCTCTTAGACTCTACTCGCATCTGTGTTGCTGTACCGTATCATCAATATTCATTCTATCTGCCGCGCTCTCGTCTCGGTTGGTTGGTTTCATCAACGTTCAAGATTAAACTTGACACTTAAATCGCCTTCTTCTCCCTCCGAAGTTGGGCTCCCGGTCTCGCGACGGAGAAGCCCATATAATATGAATCCCTAAATCTTTCTCTGCTCAGCCTCTCATCAAGTCTCGTGCTGCACAGTGGTTCAATCCCCCTGGGTAGTATTCATTTTGCTATTTGAAACCCGCTGTGCCATTAGTCTTCATCCATGAACCCAGCCATGCCGATGGCTGGATTCGTGGCTTTAGGAAACAATTACGGTGGCTAGAGCCATGCCCATTAGACTAAATATTAGTGCTATGGCTCCCGCTAGCAGCTCTTCACTCTCCGCGTCTTCTCCAGTGCGTTCCGCGACTCCTTCAATTATAATTATGCCGCTCTGAGATCTCCTGCGTTTCGCCGTTCTCTGTTTCGCGACGACATGATCCCTCGCGCGAAGGCCAAGTATAGGTTTTTTCCATACGCGGCTAGCCGCTCTCTCGTCGGATCTATCAACTATCTTATCATCAATATTCATTCTATCTGCTGCCGTCTGACCTCGGTTGGTTTAATCACATTCAAGACACCGGTTCTGTTTCCCAATGGCGGTCTAGGCTTCCGGTCTCGAGACGGAGAAACCTCATTAGCAAGAAAAAAGAGAAATCCTGCACTTCAATCAATCAGTCAGTCACCTTGGTTTCAACCATCTTGTGCTTACGGGATCCCATTGTCGAAATATCCCCCTATATGCTCTTCACTCTGCTGGGATTAATATTATGTATTCTACGCAAACCACCGCAACCCCAAGATTTAAATTTCCTTTTAAACAAAAAGATCCCGCACGCCTACCCACTTCCAGATTGACAGTATGTCGGACTACGTACTCCTACTCCTCGCTCGGAGCCGCCCGCTCGAAACAAAACATCCTCTTTTTTTCCCAACACCGATGGCGCTATTCACCCTCCTGCGCCCCGCGACTCCATTCAGAAACGAAATGGTTGGAGCCTGAATACGGAGAATAGCAGCGCGATCCTGATTTTTTTTAAAAAATTTCCTGAACCGAGAATAGCAATAACGCGATGACTCGGAACTTCCCCCTCCGCGTTTTCTCGGCGTTCCGCTTTCTTCTGTGTTTCACTTTGCTTATAATAATAAATTGCCCTTCGACTGATCTCTACTGTTCGCTCCTCTTCTTCTCGATTGATCTCGTCGTTGTCGGCGCTGATCCTGGTACCCTGATCTTTCCGCACCATGGCCAAGTCAAGTATATTCTTTTGCTATACCTAGCTAGTCGCTCTCTAGTCGCATCTGCATCTGTGTTGCTGTACCGTATCAACAATATTCATTCTATCTACCGCCGTCTCGCCTCAGTTGGTTTCATTCACATTCAACATTCAAGATACCGCGGTCGCCCGGCACCGGCGAATTTAAAACGCCTTCTCCCTCCCTCCGAAGTTGGGCTCCCGGTCTCGAGACGGAGAAGCTTGTGTAATATATTAATCGCTAAAAACTCGGGATGCCCGTGCTGATCCGTCAGTGCACTTCATTGACTCGGACTGAGTCACCCATGGCCAGGACTCCATTATCAAATTCTTCTCGAATCTCGACATCACGGTGTCGAAAACAGTGCTAGTGCTCCCGTGGCATATCGATATCCTCCCATTAATATCGCGATCCCATGGCCAATTTTCCTCTGCTTCCAAAAAAAAAGGTTAACGCGTTCCGCGTGGCGCATCAAGACCCCAACGTTTACTGTAAACGCTTCACTTACCGGTTCTTTGTTTCATCTCGCCGAGATCATCTTCGCCGACTCGAACTGATCGCTCCTTCTCGGCGACTGATCTCTTCGAATTTGTTTTCGGCGCTGATCGCCCCCTTGCTGGTATATGCCTTCGCCTCCCATCCCGCACCCTGGTCAAGTGTAGGCTTTTTGCATTCACGGCTAGCCGTTCTCTGCTCGCATCATGTTCGTTTGGTGTTCCTGTGCAATATCATCATATCGTCAACAATATTCATTCTATCTGCTGCCGTCTCATCTCGGTTAGTCTGGTCTCGTCACTTCGTCCGGTTGGCCCGCGCTTCCTCCAGATGGCCCGCTTCGATTCCGGTGTCAAGATGGAGAAGCTTGATATTACATATTAATCTCCAATTGTAAATGGGAACGCGCAGGTTACTGATCACTTGCTGAACTTCAACCACTAAGTCGCCCGTGGCTGTCCATTGACAGGAGTCCATTATCTTCTGCCTGAGGAATCGCAGTGGCGATGAAAACAACACCGCTCCCCGCCATACGTACGTATATTCTCCCCTCCCCTCGCGATCTCAATTTATTTTTTTATAAAAATAAACCAGCTAACTCCCATGATCTCCGAGTGGCGCTTCTCGCATCGCTCTGATAGACTCTTCGCATCTGTGTTACCGTGTCATATCACCGATATCTCCCCCCGGCTCACCTTCTGTCATCATCACCAGTCATGTCGCCTATTTCAAGTTTATTTGCGTCGACGTTTTTTATGTATGTTTTAGCCAAGGACAGCGACCCGCGCACGTTCTTTCCCATCTCGAATGGCGTAGGCTGCGCAACCGCAGGCTAATATTAAATATATTAAATGACGAGTATCCCTCTCCACATCGCGCCACCGAGGAATATTAAATCTGCGTCCGGCTGCACTCTAATCACGTCAAATTCAAGGTCTACTTTTTCCTCGAGTCTAAACCCGATCGTTTTTTATTCTCCTCCAGATCCGAACAATTTCAGCTTGTATGATCATCTGTTTTTCGTGGGATCCTCCACATCACCATGCTTCAAACAAACGGCTTCTTTCTGATTAGAAGCAGAGAGAAGTTCTGTACTCCAAGTTCTCGTGGGTTCAGCACAGCGCCATCTTCTTCTTCTTCTTTCCCGGCGGCGGCCAACAATTAAAATTAATTAACCATCCATCCATCATCCGCGGGCGATCCTCTCGTATGCAAGACCTACCAACCTACACCAGACCCGTTTCATTTGCTGCCCTCCCTTGTATCACCACATTATCAATATCAGTATCCATCTGTCCCGCATCCCACCTCCCCTCCTCACCTGTTCTCATCACTGTTAGCCCCGACGAGGCACGTTCCCCATTTCTTGAGACGCAGGCTAATATTACAATGACGAGTATCCCGCTCCCCATCCCGCCACCGCTGATCCCCGGCATACTGTTCGTGATCGGATATCCAATGTCGGAAAACACCGTTGGCTCGTCCTGCAATCTTTTTCTCCTGATCCGAACGAAAAACCAAAACGCTACCTCCTTCGTTCTGTTTTCTATTTTGAAGCCTATACATACTGGTACCGGCGTAGAGCATTTTTTCGAAGAAATCTCGCGAGTCCAGGCATTTTCTGTGTTCAAGCTGCCTTCTCTGACTCGATGTTTTAGTTGACCGTCTTCAAATCCACTAGCAAATCCCTCCATCTTTCCTGTTCATCCCTCCTACCTTCTTTCTTCTTTTTCTTTCTTCTATAGATCTTTCTTCTGCTTCCCTTCTATCCGTTTCGTCTCCCCCCATCCCGATCACCCCACCCACTGCCAACCGTACCCGCATCCGCATCCCAATAATATTAATCCCACCCCACCCTCGGCCTATCCGGATCCGTTTTACCTTCCTTCTTTTCCTTCCTTAAAGTTGAATTCTTTCCACGTCTCCAGGCACCCCAACACAACACGTCCTGTCAGTGTCACCGGCGTATCAGTTTCGCCTCCTCGCGGGTCGCGTGTCTCACGTCGCGATCGCGTGTCTCACGTCGCGATCGCGTGGCGTTGGAAGCTCCGATATTTGCGTGGCGTGGCGTGGAAGGAAGGTCCGACATACGAGGACAAGGACAACTCCGTCATGATAATCAAATTTAGTCGTGCAGTGCATGCAATTTGGATGCCGGTGCCGATAGCACATAAGTTTTTAATACCTCCCACCTCCCTACCTATCTTCCTTACACGTTCCCCGGGTCCGAGTCTGCTATAAATCTAATCTCCGTCGCTCAAAAAAAGTACAACCCCCTATCTCTGCCCAACATCACGTACGTATCTTGAGTTCAAGTAGGCAGAGCAGGAAGCATCAGCCCCTGCGAGTAAAATTATAGTCCGTGTCGGAATTTACAACTCTGAGTGTGATCTCGGAACAAAATGAAGGATAAGGACGAGAACTTAGAAGGGAAAGAAAGGAGAGAAAGAAAGGAGAGAAAAAGGAATCAAAATGACCACCGCAGGGGTCGAACCTGCAATCTCCTGATTACAGAGCCAATTGGAAATCGTAGTCAGACGCGATGCCATTTCGCCAGGCGGCCATTGTGATCGAAGGCGAAAGTTGGAGGGTTGATGCAAGGGTTGATGGGGTGTGGTGCCAAAACTTGAAGCCAACTACGCACGCAGACCAGCTTGAATTCTTGAGCTCTATCATACTGTGCAATTTTGAATTCAGCTCTTCCTGGGCGATACACAAGTTGGCTAAATTCCAGCTTAGATTAGAGCCAAGTACAGAACAGTAACCAAAATTACCAAATTCCGTTCCTGCACAAATTTAAAGGCTAAGAGACCTTCCCCCGTTTTTCCATGGCTGGGGTGATTCAGTGATCTTGAAAACGGCCAGAAAATTAAGAGCCATCCTTGAGCCATCCATTAAAATTTGTTCACCGATTAAAAGGATGTGTCTTGAAGGGCTGTAAGTAACCCTACCTACCAAATCGGCCCCGATCGGGTGATCACGACTCGGTAGGTGGACAATGGCGTAACTAAATTGTTTCGGTCTTCAGCTTGTTCCAGCTTTCAATTATTCATAGATCACAATATTCTTGCTTGACAACGGGAGGTCGTGGAGATTGTCAAACTTAGGCACAGCCGATGTGCAATTCGAAACACAAAGTATCAGGTTCAACAAAAATCGGACTGAAATCTAAGCTGATTCAAGTAGTTTCAGTCTTTGATTTCACCACGACTCATTTCCAAGCTGATACATTAGGGTTCAAATAGCACTTCAGCTGGCCCTATATTTGGCAATTGAAAGCTCTACTTGACATAGCATTGGCTGCAAAGGTACTGAGGCAGGTTCGGTCCACCCTTCGTTCCTGTTCGATTTGCGTGGGACTCATCAGTGATGGCACGTCAGTGGCAGTGCCACGGCTTTCCTTTGTTTCCGAACTCCCATGTCGGTAAATCCAGAACAAGTCGCCTGGGAACTAGCTAAGATTCTCGCCTGGAACTCTCCCGCCCTCTTACAATCTGCAGAATCCACGTCGCTTTGCCCAGAGCTGACTCTCACGCCCCAGGCGTTCTACGACAAGCACGTCGACAGCAAACTTTCGTTGCGCCATGCCAGGCGCACGACATAACCGACCGTGCTCCGGAATCTATGTCTGGGAGTCGCATCCAAGCTTTTCCTCACTCCCAAATCGCCGGATCGCGCAAATCGCATTCTTTGGGGTCGTAGCGGAAACTCCGCCGACGGACGGTTCGCCCTAGACGAAAATTATGGACTATTCATTTCTAATAAGTCTGGGAAATTAAGCCTCTCGCAAGAGGATTTGGATTTCATGGACGAAGACATGATAGTTCACTTGGACATGACGGTTAGCTGTATCTCGAAAATGAGAGGCAACTGGGAGATTCTAGCGGTGTCTCCTGACGCGGACGCCCTGCTGTCAGATTTGGGTCGCGTGGCGTTTCAATCCACTTTTCTGTACGCAAGATGCGGGACGCTCGGATTTCCGGCCCGAATTTCCTTGTGTTCTCGGCTATTGGATGCTTCCACGACACCTTGGACTATCCCTTCGCTTCTCGAGAAAGTGTAACCCCCGCTCGTTCTGTATAATTTCGCCTCTTTTGTGCCGTGTTCTCGTAGAGCACCCTAGACTCGATTGACAACGGTAGAAAATGCATCCCCAGAACTCAAGACGGATGTCGGGTCCCCGACGATAGTAATACCCGCCGGATCCTGTCGAACCCAAAGTACTGCTCACTTAAATTCAAAACTGGCGGCAGAGTCCTTGCTGCAACTCGCACGCCCAGTCCTATTTCTTTTTGATTACATCTGATATCGGATGGAAGGCCTGGTGCCAGGCGGCACGAACAGATGCGACGATCATTATTTTCCACTACGGGAACTTTGAACTTATCGGCGTTCGGCATCGATTCAAACCCTTCATCTGTCAGATTTAATAGATGTGAAGTGCCAGGATCCCGGATACGCAAAACTGCAGGTTGGACTCTACATCGCTCTGTTTGAAGATGCTACCGAGCAGCTCAGCAACGACAAACTGAGGATACACTACTCGACAAAGGCATTGAGAAACAAGTACATGACTCAGATATTCCTCCTAGGTCAACAAAAAGCCAGAAGACATCTCATGTGGAGAGCGCGGAGCCAGAGTCTGAGGTGAGCCCACTGCGCCGTTTACAAAAGTCTAAAACTGAGGGGATCCAGTCAGTTACCTCCTTTGCCAGCGCGCGGGATTTTGCGCTCCTTTTATATCCAGTACGATATCTATAAATCTCCGGTTCCCGCGTCTTTGATTCGTTCTGCTCCGTCGTTATTGGGCGTCCTGCAATCATCCATAAAGCCACCTATGGCGACCGAGACTATATCAGCATCATTCTTACCTCGGGAATTGCGCTCGGCGCTACTGGCATCTTACCCAATGCAATCCTTCAAGTCGTCCCCACGGGCGGCAACACATTAGAAGAAGATGTTGTGGTCAAGCTCTCATCTATGGCTGATCACCAAAGGTCTGGAGAATCGGCTGCTTCTGTTGGCCGCCTGGCGAAATGGCATCGCGTCTGACTACGATGAAGTCTTATTGGATGTAATCGGGAATCAGGAGATTGCAGGTTCGACCCCTGCGGTGGTCATTTTGTTCCATTATTTTTGTTCGTTTCGTCTTCTCCACTACATATATCGTGGCTTTCTCACACATACAACTCTCTGCCCAAATCACTGTCCTCAAGAAAGCTAATGGAGGTGCGTATTCGACGGTCTGGATTTATTCCATGGTTTCCTTCGATACTTCCCATCTTTAGGAACGTTAGATAGTTTTTCTCCTGTCGTCTGAGGAAGGAAGTGAGATACTTTAAGTAGCTGGATTACCACACTGTACAGACTCAGAACTGGCCGTTGCTAAATGCAACACATACAAAGATGGCATGTACGCACGTACAGCACCTGCTTAATTCTCTCCCTCCTCCTCCTCCCAGTCTATTAAGTTTTTCTTTTTCTTTCCTACTTCAAAAAAAACGCCGAGAGGTGGCAGTGCCCCTTCATGCGCACCCGTGACTGTGACTCGTTTCGGTAATCTCTCACCAAATCCGACGGTATCTCTTCGTCATTTTCCTTGAGCTTCAACTAAAACTCTCAGATCCAGATGAATGCGCGTTGCTCCGAGTGTGCGAGTCTCCAGACGCCTTCGGTCCCATTCGACTTGCACATCACACCTGGGACTCCTCATCATCGGTTCTTCAACTCCAATGAGGCGCCTCTGGAGCCAGACGACGTGGACCTGGTCAAATCGGCCGTTTCCAACAACGAAGATTGCTTGGCGCGTATAGACCGCGAGATCTCCCGAGTGCGCGATCGACTAAAGGACCTAGAGATTACGCGCGGCTTAGTGGCTACCCATCTCGCGCGAAATAGATCGATTCTATCTCCGCTCCGGCGGATGCCGCCCGAGATCCTGCTCGATATATTTTCTTTGACGCTGCCTTCGATTCTTACTGCACGTAGACGCGACAGGTTCAACGTCAATGATGTGCCTTGGACTTTGAGCCACATCAGTAGCTATTGGAGATCAGTTGCTCTCGCATCTCCGTCGCTATGGTCTCTCGTTGCCGTCAATTATACAGCCTTTGTCGAAGATCCTGCGCACTCCTATCCATTCCCTATGCTCGAGACACAGCTCGCCCGCGCACAGTCATTGAAGATCCACTTTTACGCATCGACGAATTCTGAAACGCGTCCTCAGACGGAAATGTTCCAGTTTCTGGCAGCACACTCTTCGCGATGGGAGGAGCTCAGCATCAGCTTGACCTCGGACCTTGTTCCCCTCCTATCCGCCCTCCGAAACCGTATGCCATCGCTCCGCAGGCTATGGCTACAGTGGGACTCCCCGGCGAGCCAGGAGGCAGTCAACTCCATTGACTGCTTCCAGACTGCTCCGTCGCTCATTGATGTTGGTGTATACAACGAATATCGCTCTATCCCAATCCTCCTTCCTGCACATCAGCTTACCCGATATCACCTCGACGGCCCGTGGACGGTGCAGGAAGAAATTCTCAAGCTCGGCCAGAACCTCGTCGAGGCGCGCATTGACGTCCGCTTCGACCAGACGCCATGGCTGGAAACTACTGACATCATCGACCTCCCATCCCTGCGCCGCCTCTATGTGTCCGAGCCCAATATCTTGGACTATATCCAGGTGCCTCATCTGCAGGAAATTGCACTTTGGATTGGCAAGGACGACGATGCGGACATTTTGAAGAGTCTTGAGCCTCTTGTCGCCCGCTCGTCGTGTCCGCTCCGGAGGCTTTGTCTCAAAGGGGTACCGACGGCGCATTCTGCGGTCGAGATCCTTAACAAATTCCCTTCCATCGTTGAGCTGGGGATCATCATCGCCGACCCTGCCTTCAGCGCTGAAGTTAACACTCTGCTGTCGACGTTCACCGTCCCCGACGTCGGTGATAGCACGCCCGTTGCCCCGCACTTATCTTGCATGTTTTTCGGATGCGATAATGAGAGCTACATCGACTACACGATGTATCTCGAGATGGTGCAGTCTCGGTGGAAGTCGGCGGATTGCAACCTCGAGGGGGCTGCACTGCTCACGGATGCGGCGCCGGGTCCGGATGCTGTAACGCTTCGTGGGCTGGATGCGCTTCGCCAGGAAGGGTTAGATGTGTTTTTACTGGAAGGACCGGAGGCGTCGGAAATCATGGGAGGCTGGATCTATACCTCATTATGGAACTGAGGGGCGATCGCTATAATTACTCTTTCTTTCCTGGACTGTGACTTGTGAGTAAGCCTCAGCTCCAAGTCGCAGCCACTGGCTTCCCCCAGGATATTTTTACTTCGAATTTTGGATCACCTTTCAGCAAATTTTCAGAACTTCCAGAATAATGCGCCGTTACTCCAGTTCACTACCGAAGAAAGAAATACATGCAGAACCGGGAATACCCAGTGGATCAAGGCTGCGTCTGCAACTGATGAAGAGTATATATGTATCAAATAATGATGAGGTTGAAATGCAAAGAACGGGTATTTTGAACAAAACACACGGCGCATTCTAACTAAAACCCCTCAATCACGGTCCGGCTCATATTTATCGACGCTCCTCTTCCGAGTATCCGGGCGGGGGCTCATCCGAGAGTCCAAGGGCCCACGGCGATTCCATCTGTGCTTCCAACTCGCGGATGCGCGCCGTTAAAATCCCGTTCCTTTCCCGCAGGCGCGCCACCGTCGCTTCCGAGTTAGATCCCATATTGCTACGCGCCGACAAAAAGCGCATAATTCCTCTTGGTGTCGATTCCACCGGTGGTACAGGTTGCTCCACTTGGTGGATATCGACCATTTTTTCCTGGGCGGCGCGAAGCTCGTTCTGCAAAAACTGTCGGCGGACCTTACTGGTGCTTCTTGGGTCGGAATGTTCTGTCGCATTGCTGTGTGTGCCGGTAAAGGTGGCAGAGTAGGGAAAGGGAGTAGGCTCTGGGATATCGATGATTAACTCGTCCGCATCTTGTTGCCGCCGGCGTCGGCGTCGGCGTCTTCTGAGCCACACCAGTACTATGGCAAGTGACATGATCGCGCAGACTGCGATAACAATTCCGATAATGGCACCCATCGACGGCGTCTGTCTAAGGGAATACAGTTCGTCAGAGGAAAGTCTGCCAGCTGTGATGGAAGTTCACTTGAGCGGGGATGGTGCAGAGCTAGTCTGCGTTGGAGGGACGTTGCTCCCGGTTCCGGTGACACTCGGCGTTATCCCATCCGAACTGGAGGGTGAGAGGCGTGGACTGGCCTTAGAGCTGTGAGCAGCCCCGGAGTGGCGGGCGGAAGCAGATGATGATGTGCTCGAGGCTGCTTGAGTGACTTCCTCCGAAGCTGCTACAGCAAAGGCTTTAGCTGCGGCAAAGTTGAAAGTCTTGGGCTGTATTCCCCGTCAGAAATGTATGGCGGTAAACGCAAGTATTTCACGGACCGTTGGTGTCGCGGAAGCCATCGCCAAGACCCAAGGTGGAATCGGGGTTGTTCCATCCGGTGCAGTGAATTCAGTCGGTAACGGGGACGGAAACCTATGTGAAATGAGATCTTTGTTCAGGCAGATATAATGGAGGAACAAACTGCTGAGGAAGACCGTTACAATTATTGGCATCAGCATAACTCTCCCAACTTTGTTCTCGTTAGTGGATCCTGAGACGCACAGCGAGGGAAGTACCTTGTGTCCAAGGATACGCAAGTGGAACAACCCAAGGATAAGCAAGCGGAACAACAAGCGTCTATCAAGTATGCAATGACGGAGCAGCTGCATTTCGCTGAGCTCAAACTTGAACTTTCTGTGGACGATACTCAGAATGGCAGATGCAAATACGGAGATTACACACCGGAGCAAATTGCTAGACTAAGATTGCAGGAGTCAAGCTGCTCGGTGGAAACACCATCACCACCCTTGATCCCAGATCATAAGCCAGCGGTCGAAGAAAGGCATGAAATACCACTCACCGGTGGGCACAATGGTTCCGACATTCTGAGGAAAAGCAGCAGAGAGACAGTCCGATACGTCGGGCACCAGACCCGAGCGCGAAAAAGAGTGGGCAAGAAATGAGTTCGAAAAAACAGCTAGGCAATGATTCTGTACGCCTTAAAAACAGCTGGGAAAGAGCGAATTTCTGGGTACGATTTGCGCTTCCACCCGAAGTGTACTTGTTTTCCTGCTCCCAACGCCTAAACCATCGTAAGCCCTAAACAACAGAGCTAAGAGGAACCTACCTGCGCACCAGACGAGGATTCTATATCTGAGAGCACTCGAAAAGGAGGGAGAACGAAGTAGAACGGAAAAGGTAAAGGGCGCCTTCCGAGTCTTCTGCATCAACGACCGGCAACAGCGGGTGCTGTGGTCTCGAAGAAGGCGATTGGGAGATATTCAGAGAACAACAGTTTACTGGCAGGACGCGGGAATTGTATCAGCTATTGTATCAGCACTGTTGTCGACGGCCGGGTGTATTCAGTGTGATGACGGAGTGAACCCCTCCGACGCGTGTCTGCACCGGCATGCTTGATACGCTGCTCATCTGACGGCACTGCTCGAGCTCAGGATGGTGAAGGAACGACCAAGGTGAGGCCTCAGAGGGTGAGTCAATTAGCTGTAACACAAGGTCGTCTCCGAGACGGAGTCAAGCTTCAACAGTCCCAAAAGGTGAACCCGATAGCTTGGGTGGGCCGTTCCAGATAGCGCTCCATAAAAAATCCACAGAAATTGAATGGGCAAGATCGACGTCCGGTGCAATTTACGGGAAAAAAGCGTATGTTACTATGTACGTTGGAGTTTGAGGAAAGTGACATACGGTGGCTGTGCCGCTAGCGTTGTCTCTTCTCCGCAAATTCTCATCCAAGAGCCCGCCGCAAGCCATCGGCCAACAACAACTGGATCTCTAGGTCTCAACTCCTGTCCTCAGGATCATGATGAACTCTCCGCGATTGTTCTCTGTGCTTTCCGGGCAGAACCACGAAGCTTAAATGCCGCGAGAATTGTCTCTTGAAGCTGCACTGCTTGGGCAGCCGCCAGATCCTACGACGCCGCGCGGTCTAGATGCCCTTCGAGAAAGGACTGGGTCTCTCGCCGCTGCCTGAGGGAAGGAGGCGTCGA